GAATACAGGCTCAAAAGGGAGGCACCGGTATGACCACAAGAGTCTCCTGATCGAAGCCCTAAATGAGGGCCCAGACCACTAGGCCCTCGGGTGACCCAAACAGAGAGGGCCATGCCAGAGCAGCTGCCTATGTTGTATTTTAGGTGTGAGAAGCCGGGCCACCGGGCAGCTGATTGCACCGCCCCAGCCCACTGAGCCAAACCGGTAAGCCAAGCAGCAACCAGAACACCTAAGAAGGCAGCCAAGAAAACCCCAGAGAGGTCCCAAGGGGTGCAACAGGTGGAGGCAGCAACGGTGACCACGACTGACGAATCCTGGTTGATGGTGAAGGGGGGATCCCGGATTGACAGCAGTGACAGTGATGATTAGGGGGAGGCTGACCCTATGGTAAGTAGGAGTGTCCGACCCTTCTGGCTGCCAGTAGTGTTAACAGGCAGGAGGCAGTGGACCTTTAATGCTCTGATCGATTCTGGGTGTACTTGGTGCCTTATGAGTATAGCAACAGCTAACAGGTTGGGGGTGCAGGTGCACCGGTTGACAAAGCCCATGAGATTCAAGCAAGTGGATGGCTCGCTGTTGGGGATGAGGCGCCAGCTACCTAGATTACAGAACGAGTGGAGCTGGAGTTTAGCGGCCATGGTGAGCGGATCCGCTTTATCGGATTCCCTAGAATGACGGAGGATATCATTCTGGGGCTTGAAAACTAGCAAGACTATTTATTACCCACATTTATTGGCTACACGGTGTGCCAAGAAGGATCATCTCTGACAGGGGGGGCACAGTTTACTGCGAAATTCTGGCAGGAGTTTCTGAAGATGGTGGGGTCCTCGCAAGGACTCATCTCAGCATTCCACCCTGCTACTAACAGGGCGGCTGAAAAGACCAACTGGTGGAACAGTATTTACACTGCTATGTTAAATACCAGCAGACTGACTGGGCTGATCTATTGCCGTTTGCCGAAGTGGCATGTAATAACATGGTACATAGCAGTACTGGGTTCACACCCTTCCACATCGCAACTAGGACTGAATTTGTTCTGATACCTGAGTGTTCTTGAGAGGTTCCTGAAGACATAGGCCTGAGTGACTGGCTGGCAAGCATGCGGTGGCTGTGGGAATATACCAAGGAGGCCTTGCAAAAATCGGCAGAGGCATATAAAATTCAAGCAGATAGAAAACGTAGGCCCCGGGGTCCATTTAAAGTAGGGGAGTAAGTGCACCTCTCCATGAAATACCTTAGGCTCAAAGTACCCAGTACAAAATTAGCATCAAAGTTCCTAGGGCCCTTCCCAATAGTACGGGTCATCAACCCTGTTACAGTGGAGCTCAAACTGCCCCACTTCTTGGCAAGACCCACCCGGTGTTCCACTGTAGTCTCCCTTAGATCCAGTGAGAGCAGCAACCATACAGGATTGACGGAATGTAAAATTAGCATCCGTTTCACCTGAACCAGTCCGAACCAGTGACCCCCCGCCTCCCTGCAGCCTCCTAGGCCCAAAAATGGGCTGTGGGGGGGCACCCCCTGTGCTCCCACCACGCATGCGGTGTGTGACTCCCCGTGCATGTGCACGTGTCTCCCGCATGGGCCCCACCCCCTGCGCATCCTGAATATCGGCTGGCTGGCGGGAGGTGCACGCACGCATGAGCACTGGAGCTGAGCTGGGCGATAGTTCGCTTGCCCGCCAAGAGGGCTCTGCATGCCAGCTGTGGAATGCGTGCCATAGGTTTGTCATCACGGATTTAGGATAATCGTTCTGAACCTTTTTTTCAACTTTAAATACTTTTTGTGGCCACAGACCATGGCTATAGATTTAACTCTAGATTTAAATCATAACATTTCTTCAAGACTTTGTGCACCCCCTGTGATTACATTGTAGGCCCTCAGGAGTCCATAGACACAGGTTGAGAACCAGTAGTCTAGGATACTCATTTTTCCAGTTGAAACTATTTAATTTAATTTAATTTAATTTCCAATTTATATACTGCCCTTCTCCCTGAGGACTCAGGGCGGTGTACAGCCAAGATAAAAACATAGAATACAAATATTAAAAAACAGTGAAATATATATATAAATTTTGGCCCGAAAGTTAAGAAATCACAGACTGATTAAAAGAATTTAAAAATTTCTTAAGCCAACCCGGCTTGCTGGAAAAGATGGGTTTTAAGGGAACGACGGAGGCATTGAGGTCATGGATTCTCCTTATCTCAGGGGACAACTGATTCCAGAGGGTAGGAGCCCCCACAGAGAAGGCCCTCCCCCTGGGGGTCACCAGCCTACATTGTTTGGCTGATGGCACCCTGAGGAGGCCCTCTCTGTGGGAGCGCACGGGTCAATGGGAGGTTATCGGTAGCAGCAGGCGGTCTCGCAGATATTTAGGCCCTATGCCATGGAGCGCTTTAAAGGTGATAACCAACACCTTGAAGCACACCCGGAAGACCACCGGGAGCCAGTGCAGCTCGCGCAGGAGCGGTGTTACATGGGAGCGCCATTTGCTCCCATCACTACCCGCGCTGCTGCATTCTGAACCAGTTGGAGCCTCCGGGTGCTCTTCAAGGGGAGCCCCATGTAGAGAGCGTTGCAGTAGTCAAGGCGAGAGGTGACGAGGGCGTGAGTGACTGTGCACAAGGAATCCCGATCGAGAAAGGGCCGCAACTGGCAAATCAGGCGAACCTGACAGAAGGTCCCCCTGGTAACAGCCGTCAGATGTTCCTCCAAAGACAGCTGCCTATCCAGGAGGACTCCCAGATTGCGAGCCCTTTCAGTGGGGGCCAAAGACTCACCCCCAATAGTCAGTGATGGAGTCAACTGACTATATCGGGATGCCGGGAGCCACAGCCACTCAGTCTTGGAAGGGTTGAGCTTGAGCCTGTTCCTCCCCATCCAGATTCGCACAGCCTCCAGGCACTGGGACATCACTTCAAGAGCATCGTTGGGGTGTCCTGGGGTGGAGATGTACAGCTGGGTGTCATCAGCGTACTGATGGTATCTCACCCCAAAGCCACGGATGATCTCACCCAGCAGCTTCACATAAATGTTGAACAGAAGGGGCGAGAGGACCGATCCCTGCGGCACTCCACAGATGAGAGGCCTCGAGGTCGACCTCTGCCCCCCTGCCAACACAAACTGCGACCAGTCAGAGAGAAAGGAGGAGAACCACCGCAACACAGTGCCTCCCACCCCCAACTCTTCCAGCCGGTGCAGCATGATACCATGGTCGATGGTATCAAAAGCTGCTGAGAGATCTAACAGGACCAGAACAGAGCCCTCCAGAGCCCTCCAGAGATCATCAACCAACGTGACCAATGCCGTTTCCGTGCTGTGCCCAGACCTGAAACCCGACTGGAACGGATCTAGATAAGATGTTTCCTCCAGGAATTGCGGAAACTGTCGCGAGACCACACTCTCAACAACCTTCGCAATAAAGCGAAGGTTGGAGACAGGACGATAGTTAGCCAATATTGCCGGATCCAGGGACGGCTTCTTGAGGAGAGGCCTCACCACCGCCTTTTTCAGGGCAGCGGGGAAGTGACCCTCACTCAACAAAGCATTAATAACGCCCTGGAGCCAGCCTGGTGTAACCTCCCGGGAAGCCAGTACCAACCAGGAGGGACACGGGTCCAGTAAACATGTGGCCACACTAAGTCTCCCCAAAATCCTGTCCACATCATCGGGAGTCACAGCATCAAACTCCTCCCAGATAACATTCTCAAGACTGTTCTATGGATGAGTCTGTCCATGTGTGGTGAGGTTAAGAAGTTTTCATCATGACTTCTGACTGTTAATGTTTCCATCTATGGATTGGGAGGCACAACTCATGATTATTCATGCCTTATTTATGTCCTGCTAGAATTATTGCAATGCATTCTACATGGGACTGCCCTCAAAGAACATTTGAAAGCTTCAGCTGGTCCAGCATGTACTGTACTGTAGCATTCCCATGTAACACCACTTCTACATGAGCTATTCTGGCTCCCAGTAAGCTTCTGGGTGCCATTCAAGGTATTGGTTTTCCCTTTTAAAGCTCTGCATGGCATGGGAATGGATTACTTCAGGATCTCTCTCCCCAGTGGCTGCTGTCCCAGCAGATCCTCTCTGTTATGGCTCCTCCTGTGGAACAGCCTCCCTGCTGAAATATGGCCAACCACCACTCTATTGACCTTTCACAAGTCTGTGATGCCCTGTGATGCCCTGGCATGGAGGTTACAGTATTGGCATAGGGGCTGTGTGCATCGGTGTATATGTTAGTGGTTTGTGTTTTTACTGTGCCTCAGTGCAGTTTTAGTTGGTTACTTGTTTAGATGAAACTATTTGCCTTTATTTCTTTGTTCCTCAAAATTTCTTGGCTAGAAAGGTGACTATATAAATTGAATAAATAAATAAATAAAATAAAAAAATTAAATCATATTCAATATTTAAGTCAGCGAGATCTACTACTCTCAGAAACCACAAGTCCCCAATCAGAAGAATCCCACTACTATTCCTTACAATCAAATCTGAAATGACATTCTTTCTTTACAGCAGAAGACACAGCTAATGTCAACGCTGAATACTGCTGAGGTCAAAACCATCCCATGGGGGACAATATGAGGTTTTCTCATGCAACTTCATAATCGTTCTGAAAGGATAAGGCAGCCAGTTTTCCTCATCAGCTGCCTCAGCGTTGAGCTGAAGATACCTTCAGTCTACAAAGGCCACATAAAGTTTGTCCCACAGATGTGTGAAGTATCTTTCAGTTTGATGTTAAGAGGTAGTGGTAGAGTTGAACAACTCTGTAAAGCTGTCTTGCTCTACTGTATCATTGTTGTGAATCAGTCAATTAATTTACCGTAAAAATGTCTAATTCAGTAGATGCATGGGCAGTTAGACTTTAGGAAGTTAGGAGACCAGCACTCCTAAAGTTAAAAACATTATACCATAACAAAATTTTAAACCCACATGCATTTAATATTTTAGATGGGATGAACAGGACATTCCTTTTCAAGACTTAGGAAACCATTTACCTGTAAGGGGAGCTCCATGAATTATAATAGCAATACCCCTACGATTTCTGGCAGCACGTCCTTCTGGAGAGATATCAATGCCAAGATGGCGAGCAATGGCTTTAGAAACAGGATTGTTGTCTAGTTCTCCAACTGCTTCTTTATGCTTGTTGAGGCTTTGTTGACTCCCTGCTGGAAAAAACATGGCATTTTGGTCAACCAAGTAGCAACACCCATGTCAAACATTCCTGAGGGGCTTCTGAGGAGATTGGTTTGGCATGAACTGGGAGTTTCTATGAAAACTCCCTCCCTAAAGGACAAATATCTGCTCTTCAAAGAAAGCACTGAATAAGCCAACAAGATGAACCAGCAGCACCCACTTAAGAAGTAACTGCATCCCTAGCTGACTTGATCTGTTTACCCGCAGCTGTCCTTTTGGCCAGGGATGGAAAATGGGGAATATCCATCATTTGAGTTTGAGATTAGGAGAGGATAGATCTCTGAAGAAAGAGAAGCCACATTTAACAGAATCTGCAATATTGTACCCAGTACTGGTCCTTCATTTACATAAACCTAAAAGAGGCCTCTAAGAATGTATTCTTATTACTGTATTTTTCGGAGTATAAGACACACTTTTTTCCCTCCTAAAAGCAGCTGAAAATTTGGGTGTGTCTTATACTCTGAATGTAGCTTTTTTGAAGCTTTTTTTCAGCCCTAACGAGGCACTAGCAAGTGAAGCGATCTCCGTGCTAAGCTTTTTTTCAGTGAAGCGATCTTCCCTGCTTTGCCTGCTCCCTCCAACTCTCAGCTGTGAAGCTTTTTTTCAGCCCTTACTAGGCACTAGTGAGTGAAGCTATCTCCATGGTTTGCCTGCTTTTCTCAGTGCTTCTCTCTCCAAAGATCAGTTGTGCTTTTATCCCAAGCAGGGGATAAAACACAGCAAACTAATGTGCTGAAGCTGACCAGACTAAGGACACTAGCCAGATGAATACCTAGTAGGCAGATTTCCCCCCCTCCCCCTATTTTCCTCCCCAAAAACTAAGCTGCGTCTTATACTCCGGTGCATCTTATACTCCGAAAAATACGGGTATTTGCATAATATGTACAGATGCTGTATAAATGTTTCTTTTTGCTTCATAACATTCATCCAGTACCTTGCCTTTTTCTTTCTCTGTGCTGTTCTGGATAGCCCTTCTCTAAGTTCCTCACCACCACTAGACCTATTTTCAAACTGCTTCTTCTATAGCAATGCTCCCCTAGCATCCATTTGTAGATTTTAGAACCAATTTTAGAACCATCTATTTAGTTTCCCAGTTTTTCAACTTCCATTTTATGAATGGGGGAAGCTTGACAAACTGTTTGGGATGTATGGGAATCTTTGGATGAAGCAAAGATTTAAAAGAATTCTAAGCTGCATAGGAAATGGGAAATCCGACCCAAGTAAGTTAAGTTCTCCAACCACGACTAGACTAATTGCATCTTGAAGGAAACTGCAGGTGTCTTCCTGGAGCCTCTTTCCGTGATCGTTGAAAAATCATGGGTGGCAGATATAGCTCCAGAGGACTTGAGAAGGGTGCCTGTTATTCCTACCTCCCAAAGGGGAAAAGAAGCAGCCTGAGTAACTACAGGTCAGGCAGCTTAACTCTGATGTGAAAAAAATTCTGGAATAGAGTAGAGAGCAACGAATTTGTGAACATTTAAAAAGGAATGCATTATTTGACGGGAACCTGCATACTTTATTAATAATTAATCGTATCAGATAACAGATAACCTAATCTACATTTTTCATAGGTGTTCAGTTTACTTGATCATAAAAGTATAATATAGCATGCCTTGGCTGATTTTCCCACAACAGTCTAATAGAGAAGATGGCAAAATATGGACCAAACTATGTTATCATTAGATGGATACAGAGCTGGTTAAAAATTTATACTCAGCAAATATACATCCTAAATCTTTGTCATGTTGGAAGAAGTGCTGAGCGGAAAATAGCAGAGCCCTGAGATGCTCAACATAAATATAAATGACTTACATGAGATTATAGAATTACCCGACTGGGGAAATAGTCATGAATATAGTGGACAATAGCAAGATTCAGGAGGACCACAATAACAAGACACAATGAGGAAGAACTAGCACAATGAATTTCAAGAAGAAAAACACAAAATCCCATATTTGGGTAAGAAAAATAAAATGGACGAATCGAGGATCAGAGGAATCACATTAGATATAGCTTTATATATAAAAAGAATCTGGGTATCTTGACTGAACATGATACAACAATGTAATGCAGTTGCATAAAAACAAATGCAGTTCTAAATGAACAGAAAGTTAATAGTGTCCAAATCACTAGGAGTCATAGTTACGGGACCGCCTTCTGCCGCCGATAGCCTCCCACCGGCCAGTTCGCTCCCACAGAGAGGGACTCCTCAGGGTGCCGTCAGCCAGGCAATGTCGGCTGGCAATCCACAGGGGGAGGGCCTTCTCTGTGGCAGCACCTGCCCTCTGGAATGACCTGCCCCCGGAGATACATAGGATACCAGATTTTCGTGTTTTTCGCCGTGCCCTCAAAACTTTTCTATTTCATCAAGTTGGGCTGGCGTAAACCCCCCCTCCTTAGATATTTTTAATTGTAAATGGATTTTAGTTGGGAGGTTTTAAATTTTGGGCCAAAATCTGTTTAATTCTTTTAAAATTTTAAATTTTGTATTGGGATGTTTTTTATTCTTGGCTGTGCACCGCCCTGAGTCCAGCAGGAGAAGGGCGATATAAAAATTTAATAAAATAAATAAATAAATAAATAGTTCTGTGACTGGTCCGACATTTTTGAAAGAGCATTAATTGAAGAACAGAACAATAAGAGGTCAAGAAGGAAAAAATTAAAAGGAACAGTAGACTGTATTGGGTAAGTTTCCCCTGGAAAAGTCTTCCAAGAGATAGGATAGCGGTCTTCAAATAGAGGGCAGCCACATGAAGAGAGAGCAGAATTGTTCCACTAGATTAAAGAAGAAACAATGGCTGTAAATCACAAGGAAGCAGATATGGGTTGGTTATCAGGAAAATGTCTCTAATAGGAGCTGTTCCATAATGAAATAAAGTACCTCAAGAGAGGTGATGCATTTGCTTTAGCTTGGAGGTACTTGAGCAGAGGCTGGAAGGAATTTGTTTGGGGATGGGCGAAGGTGGATTTCTACAATGAGTAGAAGGTTGGACAAGATTACCTCTAAGATCCCTTCCAATCTTTACATTCTATGATAAATCAGAATTCAAATTACTCTGACATCAATTGGAAGACTAATTCTGCACCAAGTGAGAAATCAAATAGGTTCCTAACCAACCTCGCTGACAACTTTGTTGTCCAAATGGTAGAGGAGGGAACTAGAGGGACAGCCATATTGGACTTAATTCTTACAAACAGAAAAGAAGTGATAGAGAGAGTTGAAGCTGCAGGAACCTTGGGTGAGAGTGACCATGTCATTCTAGAATTCAACATAATACAAACACAAGCCAAAGAACATAATGATACCAGAATCTTCAATTTTAAAATACCTGATTTTAACAAACTCAGAGAGAACTTAGGAAAGATTCCTTGTATGACAATCCTAAAGGGGAAAACAACTCAAGAATCTTGGGAAACTGAAAAATATGATCATAAAAGCCCAGACCAGCACAATACCACTGAGAAAGAAAAACAAGAAATCCAAGAAGAAACCAGCATGGCTGCACAAAGATCTCTCTGACAAATTGAAAGACAAAAAGGACAAGTACAAAAAATGGAAAGAGGACACACAACTAAGGCAGAATATCAGCAGATAGCCAAAATCTGCAAAGACAAAGTCAGGAAAGCAAAGGCTCAGAATGAACAAATATTTGCAACAAAAGTCAAAGATAATAAAAAAAGTTTCTTCCAACATATAAATAACAAGAAAAATATCAAGGAAACAGTCAGTCCACTAGAAAAAGAAGATGACAAGGACATAACAGGCAACAGAGAGAAAGCAGAGATGCTTAACTCATTCTTTGGATCAGTCTTCACACAAAAAGAAACTATAGCCCAACCTACTAAAAACATAACTGTAAAAGACAGACTAGAAATAAAAGTTAAAATAAGCAAAAAAAATAGTAAGAGAAAACCTATCTGATCTTGATGAATACAAATCACTGTGACTCTACGGATTACATCCCAGATGTAAAGGAGTTCTAAAGGAGCTGGCAGATGTCATCTCAGAACCACTGTACCACATCTTTCAAAAATCCTGGAGCACCGGGGAACTACCAGAGGACTGGAAAAGAATTGATGTGGTTCTCATCTTTAAAAAAGGAATAGCTAACATCCTTGATGATAGGATCAAGAACCAGATGCATCTTGAAAGACTTGAACACTGGGCCCTATCTAACAAAATGAAATTCAATGTAGAGAAAAGTAAAGTCTTACAAGTGTAAGCCAACCCCCCCCCCCAAAGTACACATATAGACTGAGTGAAACCAGGCTTAATAGCAGTAACTGTGAGAGGGATCTTGGAGTCTTAGTGGACAACCAGTTAAATATGAGTCAGCAGTATGCGGCGGCAGCCCAAAAGGCCAACACAATCCTAAATTGCATTAACAGAGGGATTCAATCAAGATCAAGTGAGGTATTAATACCACTCTATAAAGCCTTAGTAAGACCACACCTAGAATTATGCATCCAGTTTTGGTCACGACACTATAAAAAGGTGTTGAAACTCTAGAAAAAGTGCAGAGAAGAGCAACCAGAATTATTAGGGGACTGGAGACTAAAACATAAAGAACAGTTACAGGAACTGTTAGTGGCTAGTCTAGTGAAGAGAAGGACCAGGCAAGACATGATAGCCGTGTTCCAATATTTGAGGGGCTGCCACAGAGGGGAGGGGGTCAAGCTGTTTTCCAAAGCATCTGAAGGCCAGACAAGGAATAATGGATGGAAACTGATCAAGGAGAGATTTAACCTAGAAATAAGGATAAATTTTCTGACAGTGGGAGCAATCAACCAATGAAATAGTTTGCCTTCAGAAGTTGTGGAAGCTTCATCACTGGAGGCTTTCAAGGGGAGATTGGAGTGCCATTTCTCAGCGATGGTGTAGGGCAGTGATGGCTAACCTTTTTGCCATTGCGTGCCAAAAGTGTGGGGAGTGTGGGGAGGTCACACGTGCATGTGCCCACACCCATAATTC